TGGCCCCTCCCTTCGCCCTTCCTTCCCGCCTCCAGTAATGGAAGGCTATAAAATGTCTATTTACCCAAGACACCAGAATGACTCCTCTGTGATTCCACTAATCTGGTGATTTGGTGCTTCTCTGGTCTCTCAGGTAAATACAGATTGAGGCTTTTTATAAAGGCATATTATTTCCCTCATTAAATGTGTGTTTTGGCACAGGCGTTATTTACCTGACCGACAGTAATGGCTGTGGAGGAGCCATTGTGTCTGTTGTGTAAACACTCTGCACAGCGACCATCCTCCAGGGGCTGTGGCACAGGCCTGCTCCTCCAAATCGGGCTGTCCCTGTGGCAGTCCCTGCTTCCCCCTCCCTGCCCCACTGGGGGCTGGTCCCTTTACTTTCAGGAGAGAATCATTCATTTTCCTCTTTGCTGTAGGCTCCTTACTACCTTTAATTTGCTAGAAGGAAATGGGTGTCAGAATAAATGTGTGTAAATCTTGGGCTCTGGTGGAAGATAGACCCAGAATCATAAACTGTTCTTTTTGAGTTCTGCCCCTCTGCTAGATTCTCAAAGGCCCGGCTGATGATACAAGTTATAGACTTATATTCTGCACACTGGTGATTAAAGAATAAAGACATCAGTAGAAAGAGGAAATCCCTAAGCTGTCAGAGGGTAGGCAAGCAGGTGGGGTGCCTCTGCGGGCTCTTCGGGGGTGCAGGGGCATTTTCCCCGCAGGCTCTAGTGGTAGCAGGAGTGCACAGTGAGGGGGCACTGGGCTGGGCTCTTATGGTGGAGACTCCATGCTTTGAGGGCTGGCTTTTGCCGACCTCTCTGCCAGAGTGGAGCATGCAGCCTATCTTCTGTGGGCAGTGTGGGGAGATGGCTCCCTCATATACTGTTCTGTTTCTTTTTTTTTTTAAACAACATTGCTTATGTATTTATTTATTTTGTTTGGGGGGGGGAGGTAATTAGGCTGGCTTGCTTATTTATTTATTTATTTTTAGAGGAGGTTCTGGGGATTGAACCCAGGACCTCATGCATGCTAAGCATGTGCTCTACTACTTGAGCTATACCCTCCCTAAACAACATTGCATATGGATTAAAGAAAATTTTTTTTAAGTTTGAAATAGGCCAAATTTACATAAAAGTTGGAAGTACAGTACAAATAATTTTTTTCCTAAACCATTTGTGAATTAAGTTGCCGACCTAACAACCATCACCCTAGAGACTTTAAGTGTATTTCGTACGTTAAAGGACATTTTCCTACACAACCATCAAAACCTGAAAATTGACATTGATACGTACCTCCAGCTAAGTATCAAACCCTATTCAAGTTTTGCCAGTTGTCCCAATAACGTTCTTTGTAGCAAAATGATCCGGTTCAGAATCGTGTATTGCATTTAGCTATCAAGTCTCTTTAATCTCCTTTAGACTTTTCTCGGTAAACATTCCTTGATGTTCATGACCTGGATACTTTTGAAGATTACAGGTGGTTATTGTGTAGATGCTCCCTCATTCAGGGTTGTCTGATATTTTCTCATGATTAGATTCAGGTTATGCATCTTTGACAGGAATGTCCCAGAAATGATACTTTGTTTTTCTCATTGCATCCTGTCATGTGATGTATGATTTGGATTAATCCCACAATTGGTGATGTTCATTTTGCCCACTTGATTAAGGTGATGTCTGCCAAGCTTATCCATTGTAAACTCACTCCCTGCTATAATTAATAACATTCTGCGGGGATGTTATTATTATTATTACTTTGAAACTATGTGAAGTCACTTACCAAACTTTAATTTTTAAATTTTATTTATTTATTCATTCATTTCTTTCTTTCTATCTTTATGACCTCATGGTTTCCTTTTTTATTCAGAGCATTGTAATACATTAATGTCATTATTTACTTGCCTATGGGAGCCCCTTCAAGCTGGCTTCTGCGTCCTTTTGATATGTTCCTATCATTCTTTAGGCGTTTCCTTGCTTTCTGGCACAACAAGATGTGCGGGGCTCATCTTGTACTTTCTCTGCCACAGCCCTGGAATCAGCCATTTCTTCAAAGAGCTCTGGTTCTTTCTGTGGAGAATGTTTTTAGAAGGCAACTAGGGGTGGATGTGCTCATTGCTGTTGGAGTGTTGCTGCTCCCTGGCCCTTCAGTAAACAGAGCTTGGGAAATACATATACATGTGTGTAGATATTTGTGTATAGATATATACTTAATCTCACATTTATATCTGGCTTTACTTTTATACATTATATATATCAGATACCATGAGGTCACACTGTTACCTCCAGTTCCAATCCAACACCACAGGTGTTTTTTCCTTTCTGTGTTTTAATTCTGTTGTCTAATATTGAGAAACCTGGTCCCATTACCCTTAATATATGCCCATTTTGGATCAACCCCTCTCTATATAACTAGCCTCCCATTGTTGGCACTGCCCTTTCCCCATCTTGGGTGCCTCTTTACCCTGCCTCTGACTCCCCACATCAGGCTGCTCCCTGCCCCCACCCAACAGATGCCTTCGTATCCCAGTAGGGCTCTCGTGTGCTGCATCACACCTTCTGCCTCTGTATGGATACCTCTTCACCCTGCTTGGGCTCTGATACTCCCCCAGGCCTTTCTGCTCCTCCCCACTCCAACTAATGTAGACACCTACTTTCCTCTGCCATACTAATGACTCTAAAGCCATTAGATCAAGGTTTTCGGGAAAGGAAGAGGAAGAGCTGCTCTCTTTTTCTGGACTTGAGTTGAACTTGGTTTTTAGAAGTAGGGGAAGTATGGAACCCAGTGACTGCTGATACATGGAAGCCTGGTCTCCAAATGTCTGCTCTCAAGACTTCCTACAGGAGAGAAGCTTTTTGATGTGGGTGAAATCAGATGAGAAAGCAAGGTCTGCAGGCGTGAGGATTTATAGGCCCAGAGTGTGGGGGCCAAGGTTTGGCCAAGTGGGCATAGTTCGATAGCAGAGTAGTAGCAATAGTAGTAAGCTAATATTCATTGAGCTCTATGTGCTAGACTGTACTCTCAGTGCTTTCCATATATCCTCTCATTTCATTCTCACTTAAGGAGTAGGAGCTACTATTATTGTCATTTTGAGGGTGAGAAATTGAAAAATAGAGCTTGCTCAAGATGCTGTGGCAAGTAAGTGGTAAGACCAGAATTCAAATCCAGAAGTCCTCCTTAATCACAATACTTAATCCCCTGTAGTGTTTGGCAGATGGGGTCTGGCTGACTATAAACACTTTATGTACTATATATACACCTTGGAGAACATTAAGACTTTCAGAAGTCCTTATGCGTGGCCTGACTTGTTGCAGGAGAGTTCTAAGTCCCTGTGGGACTTTGGATCCAAACTAGAATGTGTAATCCGAGCAGACTGGTGTCTCCCATCTCACAAGGCTTCCATACTGTTTAGAAGTGGGTGATGTGAAGAGTTATTTTGGATTCTGGCTTTCAGAGGGATTTTGTCTTTCCAAGGGATTCCCTAATGAAACTCAAACACCTTTGTCTATCCAAGGCTAGGGAGTTTGGCTGCATTTCTGTAGGGGCTGTAAAGCCACGGTGAAAGCATACACTGTGCTTGTGCTGTATCCATGAAAACCTTAAAATACTTTTTGGTCTTAGTTCCACATGGACTCTCACTCTAGGGGTAGGAAAATTGAGGACCCACACTAGCACATATCCTAATAAATATACAGGCAGGTTATTGTAGGTCATTCTGTGAATCTGGAGAGCTGGGACGAGAAGTGATACTTGGCATCGCCCATATCCACTCAGGTAGTAGTGACCTCATTGCCTGGAGTGTGCTCTGGACATCACAGGCTGCTGGCTGCCTCTACCCTGTGTGAAGGAGCAAGTGCCCATTTGCAGTCTTTCAGAGGCAAGCTTTTGGCTTGGTTAGCACAGGGCTTCAGAAGGCGCAAACTATGGCCTAATACAGTTCTGTTTTGAACAGTGAGACTTCTTATTTAACTTTGAAGGTTAAAGTTGAGGGAATTTGAGTGTTGGGTATAAAAAGGGAAAAACACAAAATTTCTGCTTGCTTTCTTTGTTTTAGGAAGCTTGAGTTATTTGTGAGTAAAACTTGGGCTTTGATTTTTATGTTTTGTTAGCCCTCTAAGGAGCAGACATTCTGCAAGTTTAAAGGGAAAACTTGAGAAGTGATTTGGTTTTTTTTTTTTTTTTTTTGCACATGTTCACTCAGAGAACTTTACTAGACTTTTAGCAACGCTCCCATTACCACCACATCTGGGTTTTCTCTTTTTCTTCCCCATTTAAAAAGTCCTGCAGTCATTCAAGGCCTCTAGTAGAGAGTGAGTCTAAAGGCAGCAAAAGGGAAGGCCTGAGGCTGTTGCCAGCTGTGCTCTGCAGGCTGGAGCATTCCCCCAGGGTGCCTCTCACTGGCTGGGGCTAGGGAATCACCAGTCTGGTGAGCCAGTTCCCTGGGATCAGCTCTGCTCGATTTCACGTTGGGAGAAGGTAGGAGGGTGTATGGAGATGTCAAGATACAGACGGGAAAGCCAGCGGCACATGGCTGGGAGTGGAGCTGAGGAGAGAATCCTGGGTATTTTCTGGTGTCTGTCTGAGTCTCCTTAGCTTCCAGGACTGGTTGTGCTCCCGGGGTCACCTCAGGTTACTTTGGGGAACTTAGCTTTAATGTTAATGGGTTGCCACCTGAGAAGTGACCACAGAATTTTTCTCTCTCCTCTCTTTTGAACTTTAGAGCTCTGCTTAAAGATCAGGGCCAGTGCTGCATCTTGTTTCGAGAATGATCTGGGAGACTCAGAGCTGTCATAATGCTGCAGGGGCCAGTATTAAGGATCCTGAACGTCAGTAATGAATACTGGGATTTAGAAAAGGGGCCCAGAAACACTGGGGAGTGGTTGATGTTGTATGATTATTCCTGAAGACTAGATGGAACAGGGCCACGGCGGGAGGGAGTAACCCAGGCTCTCTGTTGTTTTTTTTTTTCTTTTCCTTTTTTTTTTTTTTTTCAACTTTCCTCCCCTAAGTTTTAGATGCGTCTGGATGTTCAATGCTAGCACCTTTACAGACTGGAGCAGCTCGATTTTCTTCATATTTACTTTCAAGAGCAAGAAAAGTGCTGGGCTCCCATTTATTTTCTCCCTGTGGTGTTCCGGAGTTCTGCTCCATATCCACCAGAAAGCTGGCGGCCCACGGCTTTGGCGCATCCATGGCGGCAATGGTGTCCTTCCCTCCCCAGAGGTATCACTACTTTTTAGTGCTGGACTTTGAGGCCACGTGCGACAAGCCACAGATTCATCCTCAGGTAACTGTTGTATCATTGCTTCAGAAAAGGTGGGATGGGTGAGGAGGGAGGGAGGATTGTCTTGCTTTCTGGGACACAGAGGAACTTTCTCATGTCTTCTTGGCTTTTAGCTTCTTATTTGGAGTTCCTGCCTAAGAAGCAGGGTGTGATTTAGGCATGCTAGGGTAAGGCAGACCTCAGAGGTCTCTGGAGAGAACTGGGCACACTATTTCCCTCTGGTCTCAGGCTTTGGGGATCAAAATACTTCCTTCTGCCCCATCCTTCCTCTCTCCTTTCTCTTCCTTCCTTCCTTGTCCTACTACTGCTGCATGTTCTTTAAAGGAATACTGCAATAGTCAGCCTCCAAGATGGCCCCCAACAACCCTTCCCTCCTGATAGTCACACCCTTGGTAGTTGCCTTCCCACAGTGAATCAGAGCTAGCCCTGTGTAACCAATGGAATATGGAAGAGACACTGTGTGACTTTGGAGGTCAAGTCATAAAAGCATTGCAGTCCACCTTGCTCTTTAGGATCACTTGCTCTGGAGGAGGCCAGCTGCCATGCTTTGAGGACACTCAAGCACCCTGGCAAGAGGCACTTGTGTGTAGGAACTGAAGCTCTTAGCTAAAACCCAGTACCAAATGCCAGTCATGTTTCTTGGCACTGACTTGAAAGTGAATATGCCTGCCCGGTCAAGCCTTCAGATAACTACAGCCCCAGTGGACATCTAACTTCGACGTTAGGAGAGACCCTGAGCCGCTCCTGAATTCCTGGCTCATAAAAGCTGTGAGAGTTAATACATGATTATTGACATTTTAAGCTACTAAGTTTTGGGATGATATGCAGCATTAGATAACCCGAACAAATACCATTGTTGGTCTGTTGAAAAGGAAAATTTCTTTACGTGCTTTTTTCCTTTAGTTACCAACTGTGTTCAGAGATCTTTTACCTTTAAGGTAATGATACTAGGAAGCTTGAATTAGCAGCAGAGAGGCACCTGGTTTAGGTGATATTGAGTCCCTGGTATTTGCTTTGGGAGCATGTGGTAGTTCATTATAGTGTGGGGGCCTTGGGTATGCATGACTCTAGGACTATAACTCTCCCCTGTAGGGCTGGATTATCAGGTGTGTAATTTTGAGGTGAGTGAACACGTTGGTCTGGGGGCAGCTTTCAGTAGTAAGAAGGTGGTGGAGAGGATTATAGCATCAGGCACTTGGGAGACAGGTTCATTCAAAGATAAACTGGGTTCATTTCTCATGGTTGGTTTTTTCCTGAGAAGGGGTTCTGTCTTTAGAATAGTAGATTATTTTCCATAAAGCAGATGCCACAACCCTTTTACCTTCCCCTTTCTCCTCTCCTCTTTCCTGTTCTTCCTTATGGCAGTGGTCTGCCCTTGGGGGAGGATTGGAATCAGGCCTCCTGAGATTTGGGAAGACAGGAGCTGGATGAGGAGAGTGTCCTAGGGGAAGGAACTTTGGATGAGAGGGAAGACGGCTTGGGAGCCACCTGAGCCACACTTATTTCTCAGCCTCCTGGTCCTGCCTGTGCTGTCAGTTCTTCTTCACCTCCTTAAACTACTGGAGTGGGCATTCCAGGGTGGTGGGTGGGAGTTTTGGTTACATCAGTTCTCTCAGGTTGGGCATCAGGGATCCATACCCCAATAGGCTGTATTATTTCCCTCACTGTTGATTTCTGTCACTGAGTAAGCCTTAGTAGGACCTGAGTTTAAAAACCAACATGTCCCTGTTGCGTGTAATTCATCTGTCTTCTGAAAGCTCATGATTGCTTTGCATCTTCCTGATGACATTTCCTGCTTTCTGCTTCCTGGCCCATGCCTGTATATGTTTGTTTCTGAACTTTTCAGTAAGAGTATAAGCTCAGATAATTTTGTAGCTCTGTTCTCTTATCCTACGCAGAGTCCTGCCAATGTTGCTGAAGGCGAAGCTTGATTCATGTCTTAGTTTGGTCTGTCATTATCACCTTTCATCTCTCTTTCAAGGGCATTGTTCTTTTTATTTTTTGTTCTTCTTATTTATTTATTGCAACGCTGAAGACATAATGCAGTACAGATTTAAATCACTTGTATCACGAACTTCCTTCTCAGACTTAGGCACCAAGGCCTTCCAGATCTAGGCTGAGATCAGGCTTCCTGCTGTTTACCAGGATCTGAGCCTGATTAAAGATTATCTCCAGAATCAATGAACCCTGATGATGCGATTCCAAGGGCACTTAAGGAATTGGCTGCCCTGGTTCATTATTAGCAAAGCATTAGCTGTTGCTTTAGAGAACTCAAGAAGAAGCATTTGCTGTCTTGCTTATCTTTAAAAGGCGAATACGAATGATCTTGGAAATTATAGACCCGTTAGTTTACTGTGATTCCAGAGAAGATACTTGACCTGATCGTCAGATAATCAATCAGGAAACAGCTAGAAGAGCATAGGTTACTGAGTAATAACTTACATGGGTTTGTGAAGAGGAGCAAATCCTGTCAGATCAATCTAACTTCTTGCTGTGACACATTGATGGATTTGAGTGGATCTGGGGCAAGTGATAAATATAATGCATCTCTACTTCATTAAGCCTCTACAATGCTGTGATCAACAGGTAGGAAGGTGGGTTTGGGGCCAGAGAGCTCTGTTGGTGAACTGCCCACTGGACCACTCTCAGGAAAGGGATTGACAGCTCAGAAGTGACTGGAGACTTATTGTTAGTGACAATTTAAAGCCACACCCCCCACACATGCATTTTTTTTTTTTAAACTCTTCCCTAAAGTTTGCAGGTAGCAGGATCCTGGTAGGATTCAGAGAAAGTTTGGGAGATGGAGTGGAGGAGTTGTCAGTCCTGGATAGGCCAGTGTCCTTCCACTGAGGTCATCATAGGTCAGGTTCCCACGATAGCCTCTCTATTAGTTTAAGTCTTTTGGTCAACAAGGGCAGTGGAGAAATTGGAAAAGCTCAGGATAAGAGGAACAAAAATCATTAGAGGCACAAAAATAAGACTTAGAAAAGAAGGAAAATAGAATACGGTTTTAGTGACTGATTCCTTGTCCAGAGTGGGAAGTAGTTGTTCCAAGGAGTATGATAATAACTTACTCTTCATTTTAATAAGGACAAAAAATGAATTTAAATGGAAGCAGGAAAGATTGAAATTTGGGTTGAGAATGAACTTCTAAGAAGAGGCAGTAGAAGGACTAGAATTGGCTGTGCAAGTTAGATCAGCCCTCCCTAGCACACCCTCAGAACGACTTGATGGTTGTCCGTTTGATGGAGATACTTTATGGGCAAGGTCTACGTGCCTCCTGGGGATGTGCGTGAGCTGTGAATCAGAACCACCCCAGCTCCCCTCCTGCCCGGTTCCCAAGTACTGAACACCTGAGGCCTCTGCACAGTGCACTTCTGACTTTTACGGGAGTGTGTCATACCCCTCAGTTGTGTAGGAGGCAGAAACAAGCTTTGGGCCAGGCCCTATCTGGAGGCTTGGCATGGGGTTCATTTCTCTCATCTGTGTCTGGTTTTCAGAAGTCCCTGAGTCAACTTGTTGGGACTCTCCTAAGGGAATGCCACATGGAAACCAACAGGTGCAAGCTCTGTTATACTTGAGTAACAATACTGGTTGTAAATGTGGTAAAACATCTGGTATTTTCCATTTGTTACAATTTTTGCTGTTTATTTTTGTACTTTGTTCAGTTCGATGAAACTGGAGTGGTTGGTTTGCCAGTAACAGGCTTTCACTTTCTGGTTTTTGAACTCACTTTGTTTTACATATTTTGGTTCAGATTAACATGATACATGTTGGTTGAATATGAGACTTTTTCATTTGAAAATATTGTTTTCACTTAAATGTTAATTTAGGTGGGTTAAAATGCTTTAGAGACTCAAAATTTGAGGAATATAATTCCTTTCTTGCTTGAGGAATTGTTTCCTGATATGGAAGTAGGTTTTTTATTGTCCTTGCCGGCAGGAGTTCACGTTGCTCGTTTTGGTGTGGATGTGCAAGGGATGATGGTGGCTGTGACCCTGAGGCCCAGGGAGCAGCCTGAAAGCTTTGGTGGGAACTTTTAATTGTGCAGCTTTAACCTGGAGGCAAGTTCTCTCACACCTCAGTGTTCAGAAAAGACCAAAGCAAATGTAAGTGAGGAAAATGAGGTACAGGCTGCAGCCCTTGGAGGGGAGGAAGCAACCTCAGCCGTCCTGATGGCCAGGGGGGCGGTCCAGCTCTCCTGTCTAGGAGCACAGGTCCGACTGCCGCCTGCCCTCCCTCCCTGAGCTCCCTCTGGCCCTCCATCAGGGTCCCAGGTAAGATCTTTCTCTCTCTCCCTGCTCTGCAGCAGCCCTGCTCACTGTTTTCCTTCTCGTCTGTATTCAAGTGCCCATAACTTTGGAGAAAAATGACCTTTGGGGTTGAGGTTTTCTAGTGTTTGGTCTTTGTCCATAGGGGCTTTTTTTTTT